CTACTTTCGGGTTCATCAAGTAGTGCTGGGAACAAGCTCCAGCGTTTCAATCTTCTGTTTTCTTTCAACCTCTGCAGGATGATTGTGCAAAATATGTGGAGCCCTGCTCTTCTTGGACTCATCGTCGCCGGAATCAGTGATTGGGCAAGTAACGGGGATACCCTTCCCTCGTCGCATTCTAGTTAAGTTTCGGTTTGCGTGACGGACTTAATGCGCAGATCAAATTACCGTTTGTGGTCATTAGGACTGATTTCATATGTGCCCTGCTGGAACATTTATGAACAACTGCAGCTGGACGGATATGTCGCTCGAAGGATGGAAATAAACTCAGTGTTGGGCTCCTATTTAGATCCTGTCGCAGATAAGGTAAATTTGACAGTTTCTGTGTTTCTGGTCGATTCGTGACTATATCTTACATCAGCAGAAATGGCTGGTTTCTGTAATAAGAGGTAGCAATTGCTGCTAATGATTGATTGCCGTTGCTCGCTCGTTGTAAATCGCAGGTCCTTGTTGGAAGTGTAGCTTTGTCCATGGCGTATGCAGGGCTGCTACATCGTAAGTAGCTCTGCTCTCACCGGAGGCAACCTCTGGCACGGGTAGATTACGATATGCCTATATGCGGGGATGGTTCGGGATTTCAGTTCTTTACCACATGTACATGCCTCAGACTCCTCATCTGCAGCATATTGATTTGTCCACTCAATTAGCTCATCATACTGAGTGCCAGTCTGAAGGTATTTCTTATGACGAGAGGGCCCTAATCTTTGTCAAGTGTGAAGTCCAGCCGTTCGTAGTGCTGGGAGTTGTTTTTGTTTATGAGCACTCATGCAGGGAATACTGATATGGGCTACGGCAGCTGCATTGGTTGGTTTGGTTGTTGCAAGGGATGGAGTTCTAGTCGGAGGTGCGTTTGTGTACCGAGCGTATTCTCTTCGTTGGCAGGTGAGTGTTTCCACCTACCAGACATCGGTGGCCGTTATGTTTTCTTCTTCTGTCTTCAACAATGGAAGTGATGTAAAAATATCTGTGCAAAATCAAGAATCCCTCTGAACTAGTATTACATGAAATTCCTATTTGCCCTTCACAGTTTCTTTGTATAACAACTTTCCACTCACGAATCTAAGTGAAAACTCTTTCCTTTCCACTCTTTTCCTTGCAGTGGAGAAATTGGCGAGAATATTTCAGAATAAACGTTGGCGGTGCAGGGAAAGTGGAACCATTATTCATAAGCAAGGTGAAAACCTTTTCCACTGAGGATTTTGAAATCTGGAGGGCTAATCGGAAATCGACGGGTAGAAGGGACAAGCTATTTAGTTCAATCCAAATAAAATTTTGATGTGTTAATGAAGCGTTTGTTGCAGGACTGAATCTCTGTCGCCTATTACAGGTTAATACTGTGTTGCAATTAGGTCTCATCATTGTGGCTCTGCTCCAGCCTGCGTTATCAGTCGAGGATACGTTTTCGTTGGTGCCTCTGCTCAGGTTATAATCATTTTAGTTTGTTTGCTTGTTGCTGGAAGGTAGGTTTTTACGACTTTAGGTTTGTTGCGTATATCGTATCATCTTGTATATTGTCCACCTCGTACCAGAGTGACGGAGTTCTAGATCTCGGCATGGACTTTTATTCTTCTTTCGTTTTCTTCTGACCTATGTGGATTTTGCCTTCCGAAGCCTGAATCTTTCATATCTCTTGGTTCTCCTGCAGCTGGTCAGTGGCCGGAACCACTACGATATCATGGGCATGCTATGTATACAAATTCCTGAAGAATCCTGACGCTTTAGCTGCGTTACGATATGTGCCACCAACATCCGGTGACAAGAAGTCCTCACATTGATCGTAATTTGGAAACCTCAATCCAGTGACATTGGCTCCTTGCTTGAAGACTTACTGCAGAATGGGATTCCATATTTGCTGTCTTATACCAGCAGGTGTGAGGGAACAAGGGCTTTTATCGATGTCGTGGACCCTAAAAGCAGCACCAAGTCGAATTGACATCCCCTTTACATCATAGGAAGAGCTCAATAACTTGAAGATGCACTCACCTCAGAAAATCTGTGGACGTTATGCCAGTTGTCGCAAGGGCCGGAGCATCGTTTTTCTCATTTCTCCAACATGTCCTGGAACTGCCTATTCAGGACTTTCAATTTCAGATGCGACGGAAGTTGCTTGATGTACATTCGGACTCCTACAGTCGGTTCGCCGTGACACAAGGTCATAGAGTGTTGAGGACAGAGCAATAAATTACGTGCAGGGGCTTTCTTGAATCAAAGTACACCTTCGAGGCTGAAGTTTGAAGAAGAAAAGGTCGTATTTAATTGAGTGATATTCGAAATGTCCGACCAACCTAGTACACATTGCTTACTGTACCACGGTCCAATTCTCAGAGTTGATTCCAACTCAAGTTAACGAGCTGTTCCATTTCATGGACTCTCCTGTGTTTCTCCTGTGTTTCTCTAGTTTGCAGCCCATCTTTACGTGGTGGCTGTGAAATCCACATTCAGTTTATTGAAGATTTCGGTGTCCGACCTTTTATTTTTCATTCTCATCTTTTGAGTCCTGAAAGGGTTTACTGTGTCTTACTGATGTCATTATCTGGTCTTTCGAAATTTGTTGATCTCTAGTGCTATCGGTTATTAAACTTGTTGAGGAACGGGAGAGCAATGTTAACTACAACCGGCATGTCAACTCAACTCATCACTGGCGTTCAACCCGTATGCCACGACAGTCCATTTTCAGATCCTTTCGCATGTACATCATATGTGCAATCCAAGCATTCCAGTTCGCTTGGTAGTGTACACATTTGCGTGTCATTGGTAGGAGCCCCAGTCTCAAGTGAGAGTTCTTGGTAGCACACTTCCATGTCAAGGATCCGAGCTTCACCACGGGCACACGCAGTGCATCACCTTGTATGTGACGTAGGGTCTGAAGGGACTAGAATGATTGAATGAGCAATTTCTTCCTGGTCTAAATCTGCTCTAAAACACTGAAAGAAGTATCGTTCTTACACTTAGGCGAGCTGCCAAGCGCCACGGATGATCTCTGTGTGCGGTGGGATCCTACGGAGTCGAGCATGAAATTGTAGGAGCTGGAGTTGAACAGTTCGAGCCGTCAAGGGGCATGCACATCATCTAATTGGACAAATTACAGTTCCTGCCGCACGATCGCTGCGGGAGCGTCTTATAAGTCTCCGATTGCATGATGGAACAATTGCGTTCGACGCGAACTTGATTACACTTTCGGAGGGTACCCATTACTACGTACACTCAGTGATCTGAATGAGTAATGAGTTGAGTACGACTCTACTTTCTCTAGTTTGTCCAACTTTTGAGGGCGTTTCCGGTGCGTTCTGTATCGTAATCTTAGAAGGACATTGTTTCATTCTTTCCGTGACACAATCTTGAGAGGAAGAGTTGATGCAATAGTCACTCGCAAGTAATACTCAATGAGAAGCAGGGGACGGCGGTTGCTATTCTCCTTGATATTGACACGGATACGACGGACCAGAAGTGAGATTACGGTATTTAGATAGCACGATATGACACATACCTTCGAATAATAAGCCAGGGGCCAAGTAAATAGTAAAAATATGGGGACTCTCATCAGAAGAATATGAGGGTTGCTTTACGTCCCTGAGCTTAGACGTCTTCGGTGAAACACATAAGTTAGTTACATGAAAATAATTTAAGATTTAAATTACGAGAACCTTATTCTAATCTGCAAGGAAGGAAAACGATGAGAATGAAACACGGTATCGTTAATCATTTAGAAATAAATTAATTTCAATATTTAAATATTTTCAAATTTACTTTGATTTAAAAATCATTCAAGGATGAAATTTAAGATATCATAAGTATAATAATGGCAAAATAATCAAATTTTACTAAAAATGATATTAGATATCATGAAATTATTATTCTTGCAATATATGTTCAATTTACAATATAAAAACTTGTTTTTTGTGATGAGATAAATAAAATTTGAATTGATCTTGTATAAAAAGCTTGTATCTTAGATATAAAGTTAAATGGATTGTAAACTTAGTGATTACTTTGTTCAATTGTTTTATACATTATAAATTTTAGTGTTTTGGAAATTATTATGATAAAATTATGCTATTTTAATAATCTTGTATTGCTAAAATTACATCATTTTCTTACATCATTACATCATTTCATGTTCTTTAAATATTCAGTTTCCTGTGATGAAAAAAAGGTGAATATTTCAGTTGTGTAGATAATCAAAATATTTGTAATGAATTTCAATTGAGGTAGAATCAAAACTAGCATTATACACGTTGACATTCTCGCAAGGTTTTATTATATATTTCATTCAACATACATTTGAATAAAAAATCAACTTTTGTTGGAATCCAACATGGTTCACTACTTCGTCTAAATTTTGGACGTCATTTCTATCTGCAGTTCATTTTAGAGGCAATTGTTAGTTGCAAGGTTGTAAAGTATGTCTCGGCCTCTTTTTAACTACAGCATTTGAAGATTTCTATGGGATGATAATAAATCATTGATGCTATAAGTTGATGATACATCCATAATGTTTTTTCTCATATAAGTTAAATTTGATTCTTGATATTTATAAAACAATGTAAACAAATAATCCAAATAATAGTGTACATTTGGCATCAATACTCATTATAGTAATGCGATGTAAACTATTGTATTTAGATTTATGTATCTGTTGAAATTTAATAGATGAATTTATACTTCGATGCTCAAGATTGATGATTTCTTTTCATAAAATTTTTTAATGTATATAAAATTTATTTTATTTTTTAAATAAAAAATAGTTCTTTAAAATCTAAAAATAATCATTTAAAAATATTATATAGACTATTATAACATGGATCTCGAATTTTTTTTCAATGAAACGAAATTAATCTATTCTATATATGATATGAAGTGAGTATATAATATTAACATTTCATATATATATATATATATATATATTTATTTATTTATATTGAATGCCATATATTCATCTTTGTTGATGATTTTCAAATTATACTATTTTATAAGTTTTTAAAGACAATAAAAAATTATCTTTCTACAATAGAATTCAAAATTTTGATAATGTAAGTTATAGGTTTTATAAATATAAGGTAATGTTAAAAGGACCATATCTCATGTTCAAACTACCACAGACTCGCCACCTGCCAAAAAAATTTTGGGGACATTCTTAGTATAAATGCTCCGAGTGCTCGCATTTTGTCTGAACGTCTCTGTTTTGTGCGTGCGATATTGATTGAGTAGTTTGATAGTAACGAGTTAGTAGCGGTTGCGACAAATCTCGTTTGCGCCATGAGCAGGTAATATTTGGCTGATGTGGATGCCCAAGGAAGCTGCCAGATTCGAGGAGGTCTACCAGGAACTTTGAGAAGCCCTCAAAAGCTTAGTAATGGTTGATTTTACCTTTTTGAAGGTCTCCTTGTGGTAGTTTTTAACAATTTGTGTAGTGGTTTTAGCATTCCCCTAGATATATGGGTAGCCAAGATTAGATGAAATATTTATAAAATACAAATACAATAAAATAGGTTACACTAAAAGCATATTCTCAAGCATTCTCCTCTACCACTTTGATATACATTAATAACCAATTTCAGATTAATCAACTTGGATCAAATGTTAATATTTAAGCTTTTATAGATCTTAACTTATGATGACTTATTCTTTAAATGTAACCAAAAAAATTATGTGGTTCATGTACAAATTAAAATATTTTTTCTGTAGGGATATGTTTAGTTCAGATACAACCAGATAGTATGTCTACACGCTTGGAATTTTCGGTATCTATTTATTATCGATATATTTTTATTATTTCTGGAGCTTATGTGTAAATAATAAAGATATATAACATCTTAAAAATCTATTTTGAAAAATCTATACAAAAAAAATTCAAGTTGCATTAAAACCATTAATATGAAAAAGGATTAATAACTTTTATATTTAATATATAAAAATGTACAAAAAAACAGATAAAATTCAACAGATTCATCTCTTAATTTTATATGTGCAAATATGAGATAAAGATTTTTTTGGGGTTATGCGATATAATTCTTTAAATTCATCAAATTTTAAAATGTACTAAATGCATTTTTTTGATTTTGAAAATTTGATTGCAAGTCATTTCGATATATAGATTTAAATACCTTTTTATGATGTAATATTTTTTCTCAGAGAGTTTACATATATGAATATGATCTTGAAATATCTATTAAAATTTGAAAAAGAGAACGCAACATTTTGAGATTATTTTTTGTGAAGAATATAAAGCAATAATATAAAACTTGGTTTTTCTATTTTTTTTGAAGAAAATATTTCATTGATTACATAATGAAAGTTTTCCAATAACATGAATATTATGTGTAGTGTTCAAATTACCTGATTATGCTAATATAATAATTAAAAATTCATATTTCAAAAGATATTCAAAGATATTGATTAGAACTTAGTTTTGTTTTAATTATCAGTCAATAAAATACATAAAAATTGATATTTTATAAATATGATGTGATTATATCATAATAATGAACAAAAATATAATCATTAATTTCAAATCATTCATGTTTATTATACTAATTCAATTCAAGAGCTTATACATATTAATGTCTATAGGATATCGTTAGTGTTGAGTTGTTAAATTTAGAACTGTTACTTTAATTTTGCTTCCAAGTATCTATCTGAAGTATTATCAAGATTCTTTATTTAGAAATGTACCGTCTGAATCACTGGCCATCTATCGAATGAAATATAATGGTAGACAATTTATGACGGCTAAACCTCTCTTTGGCCGCTTGATTACGACACCACGACTCACTGTTATGAAATTACTTCTTGTCGAGGAGTTAGTTTCTTGCAAATCTATTAGGACTATCACCGTATCCCGATTTCTTGCTTATTTTAGCCTCTTCATGTCCTTCATGGTTGGTACGAAGGTTGGTGTACTGCATGTTAGTTAAGTTTGTACTAGCCTGAAACAGGAGTCATAATACGAAGAGAGTTCCCGATTCAAACCTACACGAGGTCAAAATCCCTTCTGTAGAAACGGTTTGCGCCCTTCATACTTAATCTCCAAATGCGCGCCAAGCACATGTCAGTAAAGGGCGACTTTGACTCGATCTCTTGCAAAGGAGACCGGAGGAAATTCGGTTGATTCTTCAGGGGAAGGCTTTAGCGTACTTTAGTCATGAGCGTTCCAACCTCGTGTAGGAGTAGTTTTCGGTACAATATGGACATGCTCGATTGACACAATCAGTTGTAGGCCTTCATCCTAGCGACAGAGGTGTTTTCGGCTGACACATGCGAAGGAAATTTGGTACTCATTGCGAATGACTCTGAAGGATGATTTTGAACTGTTTGCTCATTCGACTTGTGCACCACCACCTTGACACCAATGGCATCTGGTCAGGCTCACACAAGGTCATGTACAGGCGATGTCTTTATATGTCACCAGAAACGCTCGTTGGCACATACCGTGATGATAGCTTGAGTTTCTAGATTGCAGGAAAGGGTTTTATTGTTTCTGACCATCGTTTCATCTCACGAAGAAATGAGTTGCTCTCTTGTCAGTGATTTCTAACTAGCATTGTCTTTTCGAGCGGGGAACTTAACTTCGTATCTAGTTTCTTCATGTTTTTGTACTTGTATCTTCACCACCTACGTTTTTCTGTAGTGCTTCGGAAATTCCCTCTATGTCTATTTAAAACATGGCTGATCAAAGTACATCCGTTGTTCTAACATAGATCCATTTCATACCCTGAGGTGTGAACATTCTTGCTTAACTCTAGGGTATCAACCTCAGGTAGTTGATGCAAGAAACTCCTTCAAGTCGTGGCGAAACTCGCCAAGGATGCTCGAACTTTGCAAGACGACAAGTATAAACTCTGAGATCGTTCCAAGAGCTGTGATGTAATGTAATGTTGCTGGTCAGGACAGATATCAAACAGCTGGTAAGTTCAACGGATAAATGCGACTGGGAGACTTTCATGCTTGAATCATGTGTTTCCTTCCTCAAAAACTCGCTCTATGTGCATTCATGTCTGATCAGAGTAACATCCAAATTTCTCTTAAGCTCTGAATTATCCTTGTGGGTTGTCATTCTTGCCTTACTCATGTGTATCAGCTTATCTACTTGATGCAGACCAAAGTTTGGGATTATTTCTTCTAGCGAAAAGCTAAGTGCATGGAAAGACTTGTTTCTGTATGTGTTTCTACGTGGATCAATCGTGCTCATGTCGAACCTCCTCTCGTTTCCTCGTAACAGTCGAATCGAGCTATGCCTCAATGTCTAGGGACGATTAACAGTAGTTATGGTACTGGAGCAGGTATCTTAAGCAGGTAACCGCACTCCCATGACAAGTGTAATAGAGGGAGGAACATCCGTGCCAGATTTGATAGCGAAAGCTATTTCGGAAAGTCTTCGTTGTAAGTTGCTTCAGAATGCTCGATTGCAACTTTCACTTTGACGACGAACAAAGTTTTTCCTCGAAAGAAAACTATTCTCTTAGGCTACCACTCCCAGCCTGCAAATCTCCGCTTTTTTAAACCCATTTGTAGGAAAACTGTGAATTCTGAACTAACTTGCAAAGTGGTTCTGTGCACGCTGTGTAACCAGAGAAAGTGAAGTAGAGGCACTTGGAAGGCAGCGTTGAACTCCAAAGACGAGAAAAAGCACTAGAAACGTCAGAAAGGTAACAATGCAACGTTGTACTTTTGTTGACAAGACTTGAAAAACATTCTTGTGTGGCAACTGATCAACTTTGGAAGTGGGGCGTTGGAATTGCCGAGAGCTTCACGAAAACGGATGGCTTTTGCCGTTGTTGAAGGATTCAGGACAACAAATTGTCAATACCATTTAGGTTGCAAAATTTTCCTCATTTTTTGAAAGGCGGAAGGTTGCGAGCTCAAACTCAGAAGGGTTACTTACCTATCCTTTGCTGTGAAATTTGTTCTCTTCATGAAGATTCCATCTTACTTTTGCGGCTGTTTCATTCGGACGCTGCTTTAACAGTAGATGATATTCCTGAAGACAAATTATGCGTACGCTCATGGCCATCACGTCCATCCGAGCAAAGTTAAATTTTTGATAACCTGTTTTACAGAATTGGGTTTTTTTTTAATCTAATGTCGTGCAGTTTCACAGATTCGGCGTTGGTTGTGCGCAAGGTAGCGAAAACGGCTTTCGTGAATCAAAGTGACGCCTGAATTCGGACCGAATTTCGGATATAAATGAAGGTTTCAGTCTATCTTCGGGTGAAATGAAGGCTGAAATCGGACCGAATTTTGGACTGGAGAGAAGGTAAATTTTCCTGGTTCCTTCTATCTTTGGGAGAAAAATTAGATTCAGAATATTCCGTTCTGTCTCACATTCCCGAATTCTGAAAAACGACATAGCAAGATACTTTCATTTCGTCGTGAGCTGTATGCATATGTAAATAGACTGGTAAATTTTCTTCGTCGCCGTAAGTGGTGAAAGCAGGTACTGTACAGTGGATTCGACCATTATGTCCACGTTGGAAAAACATGTCCATGCTGTCAGGAGTGGATAACACTTGTCTATCCTAGTTGCAGACATTGATTGTAGAGGAGGGTCCAGTTGGCAGATTTTGGAGGTCCACGTCGACAAACAATGGTTGTCTACGCTCTCAGTATGTAATTGAATGCTACGTAATCAATAATAGTGCCACGTTGATTTCATATCTACTTCATAGTCCACGTTGTCGAAAACACACCGACGTTGTCCAAACACTTGCTGAGTAGAGAAATTTGATCATGTCCTTATTCCTCTACTTTCGATGCCGAATGAATTCTCCGCTTGCTGGAGATATCTTCTGTCTTCTACACTAACTAATCTAGAAGAGACGAGATTTGTCTGAAATCTACACCACTAACTTAGCTGCAGATACAAGTCTGATATCCTCTCCACTAACCCTACTAAGTTGGAGAAGTCTGATAACTTCTCCGCGCTGTTGACGTCGGATATACCCCAAGACATCCGACGTCGCAGTTCGCTACGTCGACCTGAGTTGTCTCCACAGAGACGGCCTACGGTCTTGGACCTGACCACGGAGCAGCCGCGCTAACCGGAGGGTAAGCTGCGTCGACGCCGGGATCCATCAACCACTGCATGACGTAGTTCTGACCCAGATATGGTTCGACTTCGTCGACTGTGAGGTTCTTCGACCACGGTACGAGGCGAGATGGAGCAGCCCCGGGCCCGCTGTTCTCGTACAATCCGAAATACGCCGTGCTGCACAGACAGACGACGAGTGCGTCGCAAGAGATTAACGTCGTAAGAATTGATCGGAATCCATAAAATCCGAGAAAGTCGACGGCGGAACTCGACATTTACCTCCTCCTCTTGGGATCTCCGAAGTCGCTCCACCCTTCTGGATTGATGACGTTCTCGAAGTAGCTATTCGCGAAGATGATGAAGGCGTACGGCGACCACGCTCGTCCGAGATACACCGATCCTGTCCCATTCACGTAGCATCCGATGAACACGAACCCCGTTTCTTCTTCGGGCGTTTGTTTCTGCTGCGCGGCTATAGCACCGAACTTCTTCGCGATGATCGACAGCGTGCAATCCTGACACAGCGCGATCCCACATGAGACATTCGCATTCGGAAAATAACGTGAGAATTCGATGGAAGGAGACTCGAATTGCGAGTTCCATATGAGAAACCTTACCTGAAACAAGGTCCGGCCATTCCCGAAGATGAAGTCGATCGATCCCTGGATGAAACACTTGTAGTAGTAATGACGACCTTTGTAGTCGTAGAGAGTGTCCTGGGCACCCAGGAAAGAGCATTCATAAAAGGCGGCGGCGTCTCCCCCAATGAGAAAAGCCACAGCTTGCGAGTTCTCCGCTCCCGGATTCGGCGCAGGAGCAGAATTCTCGAAGGTAATGCTGCGTGCCATGAAATGATCAGAAAAAACCGAGACTGACGCGCTCTGCATTGTTCCGAAGAGTGCGAATTCATGAGAAGGATCGAATCTATCATCCGGTTCCATTCGTGTAGCCGCCGTCGCATTCCACGTTATAATTGTCCTCTTCTGATCCTCACCGTGAAATGTAATGAACGGCTTGTTGCGGGGAACCACCACCTTCTCTCTGCGTAATGATTTCATGCAGTCGTCAGACCCGACGGACGAATTCGGCTTCTAGGAATTGACTGCAGACTGCTAGCCTTGCGAAAGTAGCAGCGAAATGGATACGCGACTGCAAACAGCTCGTAGGATGTACCTGTATACCCCAGCGTAGATTCTGATGACGACGCGGTTCGAATTGCCCTTCGGGACGAAGTCCACTGCTTCCTGTATCGTGGTGAAGTTGCCGTTCCCCTCCTGGTTCACGTTCAGATACATAATTGAGCCGGAGACAGGCTTGGGCTGATCGAGCTCCCAGCTGTCGAATGCCATGCTCGGAGCAGATCCCGGAGCGGAGACGGGAGCTCCCGTAAGCGTTCTATGCGCGAGAGATGCCTGCGCAGCTGCCTCGTCTTCGTCGCTGCTCATTGCATTCGCTCTAGGGAAGTTTTTCGACTGATGGTCCGGGTAGTAGTCTGAACCCTCGATGTACGCCTGGAACGCCTGCTGAGCTGATATTCTTGCCTCCTGAGCTCGTACTCCCAATTCCTGCGCGAATTGCTCCTTAGAACCAGGCCCTTTGTTCGTGACGAACCTCTTCCCAGAATCGAGAATATCGTAAATCGCAGTTCTCCTCCCTCGGCGAATCCGATGATTGCGCTTCCACAGCTTCCGCCCCTTCGGAGCTGCAAACGTAAAGGCCTCGGACCCATCATCCCCACTCGCGTACTCGACATTCGCGACCTCCAAATTCGGTGAATCAGTGGACCTCGGGCTCAACGTCGGCGCTTGAAAATCTTCCTCACCATTCTGGAAATCAACGTGACCATGGAATGGCGCATGCTCATTGAATATCGCATGCACATGAAACACCAGGAGCGAGAGAGCGAGAACGGAAATCAGCAGAAAACAAAGAGCGCGATCCATTGCTGGATCTCAGCTCTAGTCCGGAGGGAGAGAACGCCGAATGCGAAAAGGGGAAAAACCGAAGTGACGACGATATTTAAACCCTCTCACCGTCTCCTCCCTCGGAGACGGGTCGAGTCGAGGAGGGGGAGGACGGGCAGGAGCAGGTCTGCTCGTGAGTTATCAGAGCTGGAGTCGTTAACGGCATGTGCACCCGAACTTGAGACCCGCGTACAATCGACCAGCCAGAAAAAAATTAGTCTCATTACACTTACTACAACGCTCCTATTTTTTCGCTGCCGACGATTTCCCGGTCGACTCCTGCAAACTCGTTACCTGTCTGCGGACGGCTCTTTGTCTCCAGAAGTGCTCTGCGGGTTGTACTGTAATCTTGCCAGATGCCGCAGTCGCTGCGGCCGCTCACGGAGGGCCTCGGTCTTCAAACCGTAATTACGACCGTTCGATGACGAAGTAACATAACGAAACGGGCAGACATCAAGCCTAAACAATCATAGTGGTCTCTCGGTCCTGTTCATTCACAGTTCTCAGAGGGAAAGGCCAGCGGTTGGATGCAAGGAGTCAAGAGGATCTCGACCTTGTCTTTTTCCCGACGGCGCGAGGACTCTTTCATGGACAGTGTCGTAGACTGATCGTAGCACTCATTAGAGATTACGGGATACGGTACGTCTATGAATTGATGAAGTAGCTGCCATGCCTCCGGCGCCAGGTCGTGAGGATGGTAGCCGCCAAGCTGCTGCTTTACTGTCCCAACTCACACCGGACTCCCTTCGTACGAATCTCGGTGCTGGTCTGAATTCCTGCGTGGACGTCCACATGGCCGCAGCAGCTGGGCGCTGTACGCTTGAAGCTCACGGGCAGCGTGGCGATCTCCTCAAAAGCGTGCGGAATCCTCCGTACGCCACTCATTCGCCACCGCACACACGTACAGCTGCTGACAGAACTGTCAGCTGATACGAGCATACATCGTTTCAGTTCCAACATTGTAAAAGATGAGTGTCTTTTGCTCGGACTCAAGAACTGGAAAACGCTGCTTCAAAGATCCACAAAAGTCGGAGGCAGCTCAGGAAGTCGGAAGTAGCGCTCATTGCGCTAGAGGGTAGCATGGGAGCTAGATTGCATTGCGCTGGAGAGTACGCATGCAGCTACTTGGCATGCATACCCTTTCCAGACTCATTCTGATTGAGGTACTTATAATCCTGTCGACTGCGGTCAGAGAGACTTCGTGGGAGCGATCGACGTCGGAGAAAAGTGTTAGATGTACACGGTCGATGATTATTTGTCTAGAAAGGTCAAGCTTACTTTGTGCTGTACTTGTGTCCGGAACGTGGTCCTAGACACAAGTACAGCCGAACCAAGTTGCCCAAGGGACCACGTTCTGTGGGCAACTTGGTAGAGCTGGCGAAGAGCCAGTTTGTAAATGGACGACGCACAGACCAATGACAGTCACGTTCTGCAGACAACTGGAGACTACATGTCTTTGGTACCTGGCCACGATTCGAACCTGGTTGACATGGTGTTGCTGAACGCCGTGGATAGATAAAATCCGTGTAACTAGATAGAGGTCCACTTAATGGAGGCGAAGACAATTGCTTGGATAATTTTTCTGCAAGTGGCATCGCTGTTCTGCTTTATGGAGAATGTTCTTGGTCGGGAATTTGTTCGGGTACACTCTTAGTTTAATTTGGAAGTTTTCTTAGCAATTTTGTTCGGATGTGGATATATTTGCTTGATGTGACCACATCAAAACGTAAATTGCTTGATGGTAACTATCAAGTTTCAATTTAACCGCTGGGACCCATCGACGGTGAGCCGTCGGTGAATTCTAATAAATGTTATAGTACGAATGTGTTCTAATTTGTGTTTCTACGATGGCTTCGACAACGTGCCACTGGAGTTTAACAAAACTGGATATGCTCTCGCTAGCAAGATTTCATGATCCAACCGAATTTATCTAAGCTTCTAGGCATTAAAGGTTGCACTCGCGTTCCAAAATCAATCTGCACAAGCACATTGAATCGAAAAAATCCCTTTGGTATCTGATACAGTGAGAGACAGATCTGAGAGACAATGCAATGACCCTGAGAGACACTGCAATGCCACTGGCAGTCCACCTTACACCTCCAATAATTGTGAGTTCTTCAGTCAAACCATCAAGTTTTGGCTCCAGCAAATCTACAGCACCAGATTACCACAATGAACATTTTTGCCCACATGAATTGCTGCAGACAATTTCATGCTTGAAAAAATGGTGTGTTCTTAAGGAGACGATTTGACGATGACTCATCCGTGGAGTCCCATCAAGCAAATCTCTTGATAGATGTGATCATCTCATATAGTCTGATTGCATTCTGCATTTAATGGTATTGGAATGTATGCACCCAGACTCATTTCTTGTTAGGGTTAATGAATTTAATAAGTTCATACATGGGTTAAAAAATAAGAACAGTAGATTAGAATATTTTCTTCCAAAAGTTTGTTTAAGACTTATTTACGATAAGTTCAACGTTTAAACACAATATACATACACATTGTATGTATTGAACCACATTATTCTGTTCAAGACATCCAATCGAGTAAGTAGATACAATAGCAAATGCAAAAAGCTGCTTTTAATTAACTTACCACTGCTCGTCGCCATGGTGTTTAATTAAGTGATGGTTGATGTTAACTCCAGAATAACCTAAAAATAGCAAGGAAAGTTACCAGTGCTAGGGTATTTATACCCTAGCACTGGTTTGTGGGAGTAATAAAAAGGAAGTATATAACTTTAAATTGTTTGAACTCTTGAAACTTGTCATAAGCAATTTACATGTTGGATCATTTTAGACATATTTATAATGATACTAATCCAATGACAATCCTTTGAAATTTTATGATAATTTTCAAAATACATTCATACAATTTTTTTCCATAATTTTCTACTTAAGAAATAATAGTTACCCAAATATTTTTTTATTGTAATTTTTTTTTAAAATAGAATGTTGATAAAAAACTCAAGAGTATGTAAAATAATTAAAAGCGAAGTGAATGATTTCTTATACATTGATAGAATCAAGATTTATCAAGATTATAATACAAATAAGTTTGATTAATATTTTAGTTTTTTCATAAATATTGTGAATTTTGAATGTCACAAAACATAAGAGCATGTGATTGTTGAGGTTCACTTTGGCTCAATGATAACTTCATGTTTAGCTATTTATAGTTGAGATTGGTTGCCAATGTTGGGTATATATATCTAAGTTCTATATATTATTAGATAGTTAACACAATATACTACCACAACGTTATTTACTTTGTGAACGTAACCCTTGATAAAGAATCACTTTATACGCGTATTTATCTCATGTTTGTTGTTAATTTGAATGTCTTGTCACTGGAAATTCTCAGATTTTATGTTAACAATGATCAAATTAGGTTCATGTAATCCAAAATCAATTTACATATTTAGAAATGTGATTTTTGATTCTAGTTATGATATCATAGGGTACATACATTCATTTTATGGTTTTCTTATTTCTATTATCTAACAATAAAATAAATCTCAAAAACTAAATATAAAAAATAATGCTTCTAAAATTTTGTTTAGATAATTTTAATAAGTAAAAATAAAAAATAAATTTGTAAATAAAGATAAAAAATTGAATTTCATGAAAAAATGATTTTTATGAATAAATAAAATTATAAAATAACTGAAAATTTCAAAAATTAAGAAAAAATATTTCAATCAAAACTAACAAATTTTTTTTTATTATTTCCAAAAGAATTTTTTAAAATATATTTATGTAAAAAATAAAGTAAAAATTTTCAAATAAATTCATCAAAATTTAAACACACACACACACACATATATATATATATATATATATATCAAAACCTAAAATTTAATTTTTAAAATTATAATAGTTTTCAAAATTAATTTTACATAATACATATAACAAACAAGCATTTGTTTTTATGCAAAATTTTATTTTATTATCAAATTCTAGTTTTTAATACAATTTATGGATTTGTTATTGAATATGGAATTAATAATTGTAATATATTAAAATAATAAAATTTATATAAATGTAAAACATTTCTTTATTATTAAATGGTTAAATTAAGCTAAAATAATATGATATGAATTATGAAAAAATTTGAAAGTTTTATATAATTATGATTATCTATTTAAATTTTAATAAAAATTTTAAGTATGATTTCTTTTGCTCTTAATTAATTATTTTTGTGAATTTTTTCATAAACCTATTGGAATTTTACTAATTTTGGACAATATCTGAAAAAAATGATATTTTATTTTTAGAAATTTTAATTTGTTTACAATACATGCACATATTGAAATTTTCACTTTGCAAAGATACATTTGATGAAATAATTATTAGATATTTTAAAATCTTTCTGTTGATGATTTTACTGTTAGGTTGTCTTGAAGGATTTGGTTGACAGGAAGTCATGCAACTGGCGGCAAGTATAAACTAGCCGGCTCAAACAATGACAATAAAATTTGGTGTTATGGTGTAGAAACATGTGACAAACAATGTTAACTTTGTTGTGATCTCTTGTGTAAATTATCTTGTGCGTTTCAACATTTACATATAATTTATTTAATATTTTATTATCATTCTTATAGTCATGCACTATTTTTTGGTAAAATTTTTTTTTTATAGTTTCAAAATAAAAAACATAAGTCAAGAAAATTTTAAAATATAGCAATATAAAATGATATATTTATTTTTTTAATAAAGTTATTAAAAATAACTTGAAATTAATCAAAAAATATTTTTTGAAAATAAAGAAAAGAAAATTGCTTTTTTTCATGCACTAGATTAAATTATCATGCATCAGATTTAACTTGTTTGTTTTCAGATCAAATATAATATAAAAAGAAAACATAAAATTTTATTTGTACACAAACATTATATTTGTATTAGTTATATTGAATTAAAAAGTCTAGAGACTAAAGTCATCCTAACCGTCTTACTCCGGTCTGATAGCCGGGGACCCTTCATACAAATACAATTCGGCCCGTCGCTACCCACACCTTTTACCGTTGGGTCTGTCGCTATGTTGAGCGAACGGAGTTGATATGGAATGGAGTAAATGACAACTCTTAGTTCTTGGCTCTCAGGTCTCTTCTCTCTCTAGTCTTTTATTTAAACCCGACTCTTTTTGCTGTACACTTTTTTCTCTTAGTTTCAAGAGCCAATTGCAAGAAGAAACGAAAATATCAACGCTTCATCATGCTGAGCAAAGATGAGCGATCTCGTAACAACGTCTATACTATCGTTGTTGTGAATCGTGATGGCGAATTATTAGGTTATACCGTGTTAAGAAGAGTTGTCTAATATGAAATATGTCCACCTCTCAAATAAATATCACACATAAATATAGTTGACGATGCACAACTAATCCACATAAAGTACATCTTAAGTCAACTATATACATGTGAGGCTAGAATACTTGGTTACAT